TCGAACAACCCTTTCACAGGGGTTGCCCAAGACCATCGGAAAACACATATTTTTAATGGTCTTAGGAACCGAGACACCAATTTTATGGTCACCACAACATGAGGAACTGTATTAAAAGGTTGCGGCACTGGAAAGGTTGAGAACCACTGAACTAGAGTGAGTTTTCCCCACCCCTAAATAGCTTTGCATTTTATCTCATCCATTAACTCTGCATACTACTAGGAATGGCTAGTAACCTTGGAGCAGCAGACTTTAAATAACTATTATTGTGAAATCCTTTGCGCTCTGTGAGCTTATTTGTTTACTTGCCCAACTAGATAACCTCATCAGTGCTAGCGATTGTGGGGTAGGGTCCAGAAACAGGGATCCACTTACCTTCCCTACCAGTTCGCAAATGTGAGCATGCACATGTGCACATTTCGCTCACACACACGCACTGCCTTCTGCACATGCGCAGAAAGTTGCGCATTACGTCGGGGCAGGTGGGCAGAGCCTCCCGTAGCCACTGCTACCGGCTCGCCCAAACCAGAGAAAACGAGCTGAATACTCCCTCTGGTAGGCTCCCTGTTTCTAGCTTGCCCTGTCCAGTGTTGGGAAGGGGGATTTCTCCTTGATAGTTCCATGATGATGGTATTGTTTTCTGCTTGATTGTTTGTCTGGGCCCAACAAATCTGGATTTTGGCTGTTTGAAAGGATGTGTTTTGCACTTTTTGCTTCCTTAACTCTTTTATGGTCTCTTTTAAATGGTGTATAAACTTGGTATGTGTCTATAAGTCTATTGATGGCTGATTTGTCTGAAAGTCAAGTTTCTAGTCTAGGATTCTCACAGTTTCCCAGTTAAAACTATGGTTGAGTCTCTTCATAAGTTATGAAAGTAAGAAGTTTTCAGTGTATCTTCTGATTACTAGTTACTGTTCATAGATGTGCTCTGCTAGGTTTTTTTTGTTTGTCAGTACTAAATACTGTAGTTATTTATTTCCAGAATTTCCATATTGGTGAAAAGAAAACAATTGTTGCATTCCTAATGAAAAACAATCAGACCGTGGTAGCTTGAATTTTTGTAAATTATTGTCTACGCGTGTTTGAAAATGTATTTTCCTATTGTATGATGATGTCTATATTTTTTATTTTCTCAGATAGAAGAGAGTGAAGAAGAATGGGGGGTTCCTCACTGCTTTACACTTAGAAGTCAACACCAATCCATTGTTGTTGCTGCGAGGTAATTACCTTGAACCATATGCTTGTAGAACATCTGTGTAAGTATTTGAGACAGTGATGCCTGTCCTACAGAAGATACGCATTGGATTGTTATAGGTAGCTAGTTACAGTGGTCATTCTGAATTCATTTGTAATCACCCTTTTGTAGTAAATAACATGTAGTTAATATAAAGTATTAAAGTAAAGTCCTTGCAGAGCAGGAAGCGATTGTGCTTTCTTGTAATTTTATCTGGTTACAAAGATGTTTATCCTCCCCCCCCCCCCTCCCAAAATCTGAAAGCAGGATTTGGCTTAATTTTGCCCATCTTCTGAAGCTCACTGACATTTGCAATGAAAAAAACAAGAACTACCATTTCAGCATTCATAGGATGCTGTGAAGACCTCTTCCCAAAAGTATTGGACTAGGATGGGGATAGAGCTGGGAGGCTGTGAGGCCTGGCACCTGAAGGGAAGGGTGCTTCTGTTTTTATCTTTGCTTTTATGTGTTGTGTGAGCTGCCTAGTATCATTATATGTAAATGAACAATAAATCAACCTCTATTATTTTCCTAGTAATCGCATTGAGATGGACAAGTGGACTGAGGACATACAGATGGCCATTGACTTGGCAGAGAACTGTAATGATCCTGCTTCTGAATTCCATGGAAATAGCCCACCTGACACAAGTAAGTCCAGACTCCAGAACCAGGAAAGGTGGGGTAAATCCTACCGCTCCAAAGTATCATTATACATACAGAGCATTTTGCAGGGCCACTGCTTTAAAAACAAGGAATATCAGTATGGTCTTTTCTTATCTAATTTCAGTTCAGATAGATTACATGGCAATCGATTTGTGGGTATCAAATCCTATATTAAGAATTTGAGAAATGTGTTTAATAGTAGTAAATGGAATAGTATGTAAAGTAGTAAATGACATAATACTGAAATTAAAGAATGCCTTCTGTGTCCCAAAACAATACACTTAGTTCACTGAAGTGTGTACTAAGTCACTCTATTTACAGCACAGAATTACCAGGGCCCAATTATAAATCAGTGTTTCACAACCTTCGCAAATTTAAGACTTCAGCTCCCAGAATTCCCCAGCCAACATGGTCCATGCTGGCTGGGAAATTCTGGGAGTTGAAGTCCACACATCTTAAACTTGCTACGGTTGTGAAATACTGTTATAGATAATAATAATGTTCCTGTGCACGATCGCATATTGGATTATTGATTAATCAATTGGCCATTAATTTCTTGTTGGGATACTTTCCTCAAGGAAAAAATACCTTTCTCTTTCCATATTTCTGTTTTCCCTACACAACCAACTCAAAACACTAATATGGCTTCTTCAGCCATTTTGGAGATTTCCCCATATCAGAAACAGTCTTTTGCTTATGATTTCATGCCCCATGTACAAGAGGGGAAAACAAGAGGCTTTTTCCATGCATTTCGTAGAATCCCCCGAGGAGCCCACTGTAGACCAGGAATCGGAAGACGATCTCAATGCATCCCGCACCTCACTTGAACGTCAAGCTCCTCACCGTGGCAACACTACGGTGCACGTCTGTTGGCACAGAAATACCAGTGTCTCCATGGTCGACTTTAGTATTGCGGTGGAGGTATCTGGCTCGAAATGGCTTGGACTGCAGCTCGAAAGAGCCATCTTCTTCAGGCACCATTTCCTTTCCAGTCGTTGCCCTCTTGGTTAATTGGAAACTATTAAGTCCATTCAAAAGACATGATTTTAACAAGCGATTTATGAATAATTTGGATTTCCATGTGACACCTTTCATACTTCTAAATTAATTTCCATATATTGACATCAAGAGGGGTTCTTCTGAGTATTTTTTTTTTAAAAAATCCTCAGTGTATTTGGAAAGGACAATAAGTCTATCTGCTGCAGTCTGAAATCTGCATTTCTATGCAACTTGTTTTATTTTCTGCTGTCTATTATTCTCTGGAAGCCTTACAATATTCTCCTTTCAGCCTCATCTGCCTCTCTCATGTTTTCTTTATTAAGGAAATCTCTGTGTATTTTTAAAGATGCATTTTGACTGTAGCTAAACCAATTTGAAACAGATTAACGAGGTATGGAATCCAAAACATTCTCATCTCAAATCAGTGAAATTTTCATGGAAAGTATATTGCATTCTCATATCAAGTCATGTGAGCTCTTATGTGGAACCTTAGTGTTTAATTTTATCAAAGTTAAAGGGGATATTTCTTGGAGATCATCATTATTGTTCTGCTTTCAGTTCTTCTTCATAAAGTAAGCCTCCGTTCAACTCTGTTGAAAAATAGAAGGAAACCGTTCTTCTGAAGCACATACATTTTCTGTAAAATTGAGTTCGAGAGGAAAAAAATAACATAGAATTTGATTTAAATTAGAAATTGGTTTAGCTTCTTTAAGGTACCTGCAGACACCCATTTCCAAAGGAATGCCTCTAGGTTGTTTTGGCTACAGCGGAGAACACATTGGATTAACGTTTAGTTTTATAGAATATAAAGGTTCTACAGATTTAAAAAAATTTTTTTTAAAGAACACAATCTTTCCCTTGGATTCAGACATACCTGGTTGCAATTCCCTCCAAATACATTTGGTTCTTGCTTCTGAGTGTGTGTGTGTGTTGCATGTTCTATCAGAATCATCCTAATACGTCTCCTCTGGAGATCAAATGTCACAGCCAGATCGTACTCACATATTTGGAGTTTATCACATCAAACAACCTAGAAGCAGATCCATGTGCACTCACACATCTGTCTTTAGTTGCACAGCTTTTCCCATGACCAGCAAGTTACAGTCATACTTTCCTAATTCTGTGTTTAATGTCACATCAGCATTATAGTTTATGCTTTCTCTCTGTGTCTTTCCTTCTTTCCCTCCTCCTTTCTCTTTTTCTTGTGGTAGAAGACCCTCTCACTGTCAGTGACTGTCCTTCCCCACCTGTTGGACTGATCAGTGATCAGCGGCCTGTTTCCATTTCATATGTCTGCTGGTACCGAATGCAAAGCCTGTCCTTTTATGATACCCTTCAGAAAATGAGGTAACCAAAATCAAAAAGTAGAGAATTAGGACTACATGTGTGTTATTGTAGCCCAGTACACACACATCCTGTCTGGTTTTTTTTTGAAACTGGAATGGGTCAAAATGAAAGCTTTCAAAACACAGTAAAATGCTTGTTAGTCCTGTTGACAATTTGGAAGGCAATAGTTTCCTTTCAGCTGTTTTGTTAAGAGCGTAGTTCATTATGCTGCTAAACGTCAAGCAGAACAAAAAAAGGATAATAAAAGTTTTCCACTAAGAGAACAAAGATTCAGCAAGATTGATTGTTTTTAAGCTAAAGTGTGAGTTTATCTCCCCTTTGTTATAATCATTGGATGCGTTTGATATTTGGCATCTAACTTCTTTCAAATATATGATAGACACACGTTGAATTCAAAGCACCTTAATTTAACTATTTCACACACAAAAAAGTTGTCCAAAACTTAATTTAAAGCAAAGTCTCTCATTTATGCAGGTTTACAATCCACCTATGTTTTATCTATTAAAATCAGTGGGGATTAAGTTATTGTGATTAGACTACCTTTCCAAAGATGACTTAAGAGAAATATATTCATTTTTCTTAAAATAGTGGTGTTGGGTGAAATATTATTTATACATTTCCCCACCAACACAAAAGAGTTAAAATTTAGAATCATAGTAAAATTGTCTTCTAGCCACACAACCTTAAAATTAAATATTCCAGCATCAAATCTGCTTCAGAAAGTGGCTGGATTTAGCTAGTCTTCGCTGATCTCAGAAGCAAAGTAGCCCTGGTAAATAGTTGGAAGTGTTGGAAGCCAGGAATTTCAGGCCTAGAACATAAGCCGGGAAGTCAAGAGACCATTCCAGAAAAAAAAAAGCAAGGGCAAAACACTTCTTTAACTTTGTCAAGAAAACTGCAGGTCTGCCAATACGACCTCAGTTTGAGTGGGGCTTCTAATAAGGTAACAGCAGATAATTAATTTCTTGCTAGAATCCACTTACAAGCCAACCTCACTGAATAAAAACAGTTCAGAAACTTGAAGTGCAATCTACTACCGCTTTCAACAGAAAAGAATAAACTGTTCCAATTTAGGCTGGGGAAAAATGCCCTTCTACATGAGCCTTGCCTGCTTTCCATCAGCTTGTTTTACCATCTCCGTGTATTTTATTTCGTTTGTTGTACTATTTCCCTCCTTTTTTCAGAACCAACTTTCTGGAAACCTCCTGCGAAAATTCAAAAACAGCAATGGGTGGCAGAAGCTTTGGGTGGTATTCACCAACTTCTGCATGTTTTTCTACAAATCTCACCAGGTAATTCATTCTTCTGAAAGCAGAAAATAATCTTTATGTTAGGTTTTTCATGTTAGAGGATTGAAATGCAGCTTGATTGGCCTCAGGAGAGCTAGTACAGATAGTCCTTGACTTATGACAGCAATTGGCGTAAGGATTTTCATTGCTAAGCTATGTAAAGCCAATCTAAAGCCAGACTGGATCACTGTACAATGGCAGTCTGTGTAGTCCTGGTTATTACAGTCATTAGATGAGTCAAATTCTTACCAACTTCCTACATCCAACAGTCTTGGAAAAGGCGGCAGTTGTAAGTCACTCACGGGCAGGAGAATGGCTGTTGCCAAGTGAGAGATGAAACAAGGGGGTATGGGGAACAGTCAGAGAGACAGTGTTTTTACAGTGCAAGGGATTGTGCAAGAGGTGTCACATGGATTGTCGAGAGTGAGGGGCTGTGTGTATCGAAAAAGATGATAGGGGATGTGAGAAGATGAATTAGAGGTATGATGTGGATCGGTGAGAGTGCAAGGGAGTGTGCTGGAGTATTGCGTGGGTAAGTCAGAGTGTGAGGGGATATGCAAGAGATACATAAGGGGCATTGCATGGATTGGGGAGGATATAAGAGGGTCCCTGTTGTATGGGTCAGGAAGGATAAGGGACTATGTGAGAGGATGCACAAGAGAGTCAGGAGGAGTGCAAGCGGTGTGCAAGAGATGCCACACAAATCAGAGACGGTGCGTGGGGGCAGTGTGGGTTGGGGACGATATACAGGCTACACGAGTGGCTGACACAGTGCCATTGCAGAGGATCTGGGAGAGGGTGCACAAGTGGGAAGACTCAAGTGACTGGTGACCTTCCTGCTGGCTTCCCCATAGACTTTCTTAGGAAGCCAGCGGGGAAGGTTGCAAAATGGCAATTGCATAGTTGTGCTGCGTTTGGCAACCGATCATAAGTGCAAATGGGGTTGCCAAGCACCCAGATCGTGATCACATGACTGTGGATGTGTTGGGACTGCTGGAACGCCCAAGGACTGGTTGTAACCACCATTTGTTCAGCGCCATTGTAACTTTGTTGCTGATAGTTGCTGATTTATTTATTAGATTTTAATCTTGCTTTTATTACTGTTTATAAGTAACTCAAGGTGGTAAGCATACCTTAGTCCTTCTTTCACTTTTTCATCACAACAATGTTGTGCGGTGGGATGAACTGAGAGAGAATGACTGGCCCAAAGTCACTCATCCCACTTTCTAAGGCCAGACTAGAACTCACAGTCTCCTGGTTTCTCACCTGGTGCCTTAACTTCTAGACCAAACTGGCTCTTAGCTCAATGAATGGTTGAACGGTTTGTTTTTTTTAAATAGTATTTATTACATTTGCCAACATTTAAAAGACAAAACACAAATTTACACTTATAACAGCTTTTCCATATTTTTCATAACAATCCTATTTACAAAAAATTCTATCTCTATATCACGGTTTAATCAGGTGGTTTGAATGGTCAGAAGTCAATGACAGAATGTATTAGAAATTTCTGCAATGAAATTGTGCATTTCCATGAATGCTGTTTGAAAGCAGCTATTCTGTTGATGGTGGCTTTGGTTCATATATTTCATTTCTCTGAGGAAGGGTACACCCAAGGATATTTGAGATTAATTAATAT